CATTAGCACCTCTAGTAATATATTTACTGAGAAAAATGGTGACGTGTTCAATACTTATTTTACCAGCTGTATGTTTAGGTGACAGATCTTCAGCCAGTTGTTGTCAGTTAGCAGTTTCTCTCCTTTATTTATAGTGGTTTAGTGCTTGTGAATAAGATTTTTGTAGCTAGCCGATTGGYGGTTAGTGACGCTAACTTTCGGTTAGTGAATGTTGATCTCCATTCTGACGTCAGGCATATTATTGCAGATGCAGAAGTTATAWTTTACATTATTTGATGCTCTCTGAAATGATGGAGCAATCGTAGTGGATTCTACAGAGAGACAGTGTTAATACTGAAACAGAAAGATGTTCTTAGAGCAGATTTCAACATGACTTCAGGAATCACAGGAAAGTTCAGTTGAAAGGTTGTCTGGMGGGTYGAGGTCTTCAACAGACTTGGAMAGAGAGAGGAATTGTTAAAAAAGGTTTGTGTTAGCTTTTATCTATTGTCGGTGAGTGTATTTTTATCAATGGAGCCCATGCTTCTGCATTAGTTAAAAAACATGATGGTGATGTTAAAATTTGTGTAAATATTATTACCATATGTGTGACTGACTGCAGTAGAGTGCTGTACGATTATGCTACAAGTAAAGCTAGCCGTTCAGAGCCGAGAGCTTCTCCTGTCAATCACACAACCAGCCATGCATGCAGGAGTGTGAGACAACTCCAGCTCAGACTGATCATTACCAGCAGATAAATKATGCTTTTATCATTGTTTAAAAACAGGATGCCCTCTGTTCTCACAGGGTGTGGAACATCACATGCAAACAGGGTGACCAGATGTCCAGAATTGTGCGACATTTGACTGGTTAAACACCACAACAGTGCATCCTGTGGGCCACCCCACTGTGTCAAAAATTAAATAAACACTGTGCAAGAAAATGGATTTGATTTATGCAGAATGTAATGGAAACTATGTCAAAGAAAAACATTGAAAATGATTTTTCTTGTAGGGGAACATACTGTGAAGTGATTCACAAATGAAACCCACAGCTCAGAAAGCTGCCTGTCTGTGGACAGACAGAWAACAGACAGAGCTCCTTCAKTGACAGACCGCTGCATCCTAAATGCACAAAGGAGCGTTACCRCAGATCMTTCCTCCCATCAGCATTAGACTCTATAACCATCACCGCTCACATCAGTCATGATAAGCATCCAGGTTTGTGTTTKCACATCTAACAACTCTACCTCTCAMTCATTACATAMATAATCTGTGGCAATTGTACATCGTTTTTCCTGTACTGGATTTAATGACGGAGTTTGAATCATTCTGCACACCCCCTCAGATCATGAGTCTGTCATGGCTGATTTTTCCTGTCATTTATGTTTTTCTGCAGCGTCTTGCTTTTATTTTCATTTTTATCCAATTTCATCTAGATAGTCCAGTACAGTAATTATTCATTATTATTTCATTCTGTTTATTTTTTATTGCTGCTATCTTTAATTTTATTATTATTGCTACAGTTGATAATGTCACATAGCAATATACTGTTTCTGTGGATTGATGCATGTATCTGCTGCTGCTGCTACACCTGAATTTCCCTGCGCGGGACAATAAAGACTGTTTCTATTCTATTCTATTCTATTCTATTCTATTCTATTCTATTCTATTCTATAACAGCTCAGTTCTACAGACCTACAGGTTGCTTCTTCCTGCTGTAGACTTATTTATTTATTTATTTATTTATTTATTTATTTATTTATTTATTTATTCATTCATTCATTTAAAACTAAGCTGAAAAACTATATACAATATAAAACACAAATCATAAATGAAATGAAAGGAAGGAGAAAAAAGAAAAATTTTATTATATCTGTTCCTTTTAACCCAAAAATAAATTCAAACAAAAATAATATATAAAAAATAAAACAATGTCAGGTCTTTCCCCAACAACTTATATCAGTACACTCTATACTGAATCATTTAACATCATTATTTATCTACTCTTTTCATCATTCTGTGTTACTGAGTGAAGACTATTGATGACTACTGTGAACAAATTGTAACACTGTGTTATGTGGAGGAGCTTGTGTCAGTAATCAGTACCTGAAGACCTCTTTGAGCTGTTTGACCTTGTTGTCTGGATATTTCTTGGCACTGCTGTCATCGAGGAAGGCTCTGGCATACGCAAGAGGCCCTGCGTTCACCTGAAAACAGCCCAGGTCCAAAGATTTACAGTCTTTTTATTAAGCAACGTGACTGGGTTTGTTTGTTTGTGTTTTAAACCGTACCTGGACGCTGATGCTGCCCTGCAGCTTGAGCTGCAGGCGAATCATGTCCACCTCAGAGGCCGAGCACAGCAGCCTCAGCTCGCCCACCTTGGCGCTCATCTCATCGATGGCCACCTCTATGGGGCTCAGGTCGGTCTGGTGCTGGTACATGACGGCTATACGCTTCTTAACGTAAGGAAAACAGTGGGTGGCTGGGTGGGGAGAGGAAACAAACAGCAGAGCATCAGGCAGGCAGAAACATCCCGGCACAACCTGCGGCCTGGTCGGGTCTCCACAGTACCATTCATTACAGAACAAGTCATACAAAGATGTAAACAACCACAAAGAAGACAGGTCATAATAAGTCAACGTGATTATTAACAACATTAGATAACAGCTGAACTTTGAGATGAAGTGAATAGAAGAGTATAATAAACATCATCAGGCTTATCAGGCTAAATTTACAGAGGCTGGCATGAAACGTGATACTCAGAGGTCAACAACACATAAGGAAGTAAATCCTGTTAATTAGTTGGTTCTATGATAAACAACGCTGGGCCTGGAAACAACAGAATTCATCTATTCATTCATTCTATGTTTATACTAAAGCATGGAATGACATTCCTCAAAACATAAAGTCCATTTCAAAACTACAGCCCTTTAAGAAGAATCTTGTCTGCCATCTGCTGGACACTTTTTGTTGTGCTCATATTTAGACGTCCTATTTTGCAAATGCTGCCTTCCTGAAATTTGGTATGCTTGTTTGTCTTTGTGTCTATGGTGTATAATGATGTGATTGTGATGCTGTATTTCTGAGTGTTTTATGTGCTGCAGAACAGGAACCTGCTGTAAAACAGCAATTATGCTGAGTCAGGCTTGATTCTTAGTAATCTTTTCCTGGTAAATCAATAAATCAAATCAAATCAAATCATCTCAAAAAAGTAAAACAGCTTGTGGGAACCCGGCATCAGTTTTTCTGAAACTCCCGCCACATATGGAATAACGACTGGTTTGGGTCTGGGTTTAGAGTCTTTTTCAGCTGGTTGTTGGCTTTCATCCTGTCTGCTTTCAGAAAAGCTCAGTTGGGATAACCACACTGCTCCAGGGCCTGTCTTGTGTGTGATTTCTCTTTCTCCCTGGCTCCTGTGTTTGTGGGGACACTGTCTGCTCTGTGGTAAAGAGTTCTGATGACTCCTAACTTGTGTTCCAGTGGGTGCTGGGAATCAAAACTCAAATACTGGTCTGTATGGGTGGGTTTGTGATACACGTCAGTTTCCAACCGTCCTCCATCAGAAACTGAGACCTCACAGTCCAGGAACACTAACCTGCCATCTTTTACATCCTCTCGTGTGAACTTAATATATTCATCCACAGAGTTGATGTGATCAGTGAAATGTTGGACTTCCTGAGATTTAAGGTGTCATCAACATACCTGAACCAATGGCTCGGTGGTGTCCCTGTAAAGGACATCAGAGCTCTTTTTTCCACCTCCTCCATGTACAGGTTTGCAACAATAAGGGAAACTGGGGATCCCGTAGCACACTCATGTTTCTGCCTATAGTATTGCCCCCATATGTGAAGCAGGTTGACTTTGTGTTATATAATATATTTTAATCCACACGTTAAATTGTTACCAGGACCTCCTTCTTCCACCTTGACAATATCACTAAAATTAGAAGCATTTTGTCTTGAAATGATGCAGAAAAACTGGTCTAGGCAGGGTTGGTCTAGGTCTCCTTAACAAGCCCTTAGTCCTGCTGTTACAGGTTAAAACAGCTGAAGGTTCCTGACAGAAAGCACTGATCAGTGCAGGACGTACTGGTRAGAACAGTTCGTCGTTTACACTGCTCCTCTACTCCGCCCTGCTTTTTGCCTGAAACTGTGAACGGAGTCTCGAACACAAAGCGCCGGATGTTGTGGCTCTTCTCGAAGTCGGTCTTCCTGTCCTCCAGCTCCTTATCATCTAGGTAGGGCGTGACGTGGGTCACCTGGATGTAGGCGTACTTTAAGTCCAGGTCCTTGGGGTTTACCTGGGGGTGCAAACGTACAAAACACTTGAGATCATGTTTCAACCGTTACCAGCTGACAGCTGAAGGTCCCAGATGTGACTCCACCTTGCCAGAATCCTGAATGATCTTGACGTTCTCTTGGCCAAATTTGTCTGAGTAGAGCTTGAGGAGCCTTTGGGAAATCTCGGACAGTGGAGTGAATTTTGGCTCCTTGTAGATGTATTCCTTCCCATCTTCATCCTCAAAGAAGCCCTGCAGCACAAACACAAGAACCTTTTCACCTAAAAGAACATCTACTCTGTCTTTTAGGTACCTAAAACACACCAGACTATAAGAAATATAAAACTGTACTCAGGAAGTCTAAAGAATCGACACCTCTTATTTACTTACCGCAGCCTTGGAAGGCAATGGAAAAAAGAAGAAATGCTTTTGTTAAATGAGTCTTTTAAGAAAAGCAGACCTTGATTTATGTGTTTCATGTGTTTTTGAAGCTCACCTGTCCAAAGAAGGCCACTCTGAAGTACGTCCCCAGCAGCCTCTTGCCGCTGTGCATCACCTCCATCACTTTAGTGTAGGCCCGATGGAGCGTGTCGTACAGGTGGGTCAGTTTCTGTCGGACAGATTTCCAAAACAAACTGTCACCAGAAACAACCAAGTGCCAACAACAAACCAATACCCCTGACGTCCAATCAGCTGTCAGGGGTCACCATTTACTGCAGCATTCATGAGAAAGTAAAGAGTTGGAATTACAAATTGTATTTTATTCATTTCCWGTGGTGGGCACAGCTAAACAAAAACAGATTCGCTAATTCAGAATCGGCTAATAAAAAACAGCTTTGCTAACGCTATACAAGTAAAGATTAGCAGGAGCTAACGCTAAACAAAAAATTAGCAGACACTAACAGTTAATCAGCCTTTAAGACGACTGTCTCTCAGTCTGTGTCACATCTTTGTCTCCTTCCAGCTGCAGACTGGTGGGACTGACACAAACCTGTTGGTGTTAGCTGTTAGTTAGCTGTTAGCAGACCTAAAGTTAGTAAAACCTAATCAAGTTTAAGTTAATTGGTCCGCTAAGAGTTTACAAAATTAGTAAAAAAAAAAAAAGGCTAATCTGCTAAACAAAAAAAATTGTTTTGTTAGTGGTTAGTTGATTAGGCAGAACCCTGCCCAACACTGAGGATTAACTTCACAACTGTTCAGTAACTGATTTAGCTTTAGAGAAATAAAATATATTCTTCTACATGTGTAAAATGTATAAAAAGCTATATTGCATGACAAGTTATATTTTGTATTATTTTATATGTTGTTCTGCACAATATTTGTTTTGAAACAATCAAAGGTGATGTTCAGTAGCTCTGGAGCTAATGCTATATATATTAGCTTGGAAGCTAAYGCCGGTTTACATCACTTACCCAGAATGCTTAAAAAACACGTGACAATACCTAACGTTTTAAATGTRTATAAACTAACAGCCTACAGTATTTTTACAGTCTGTTTCTTATAGCTGAAGTAAATGTTTATTAAATAAAATCTAATGTTACAACAGGTCAAAGAGCTCTTTTTGGAACAAATTAAAAGAGGGTTGGGACTTTATTTATATAATTTCAGACCAACTAAATGATGCTAATGAAAACATCCGTGTWTAATTTTGGGTCGAGAACCATATTTTCAGGTAGGTAAWTGCARTGGTGGGCACCAGCCCGCTAAAGCGCAAATCCGCTAATTGTGGACCTAAATATTTCGTTTGCGGTTTAGTGGTCTTACTAATTTTTATAATTCATAAGCGGATTTGTGCTTTCTAAAATTAAWATGCAGTACCGCTAATAACTAATTATCTACCAGTCATCATTATCTTGAACAGTGGAAGGTATGGCTGTCAATGAATCACAACACATGTGATCTATCCAACAGCACCCCTCCCAGATAAACACACTTATTGAGAAGGTATACTGCAKTTTATTTCCCGTTATTTTACCAGGCAAGTCCCGTTGAGATCTCAGATCTCTTTTTCAAGGGAGGCCTGRGCCTGAAGGCAACCTATTGTACATGTTTTTAGGGGTGGGGGAAACCGGAGTACCMGGAGAAAACCCAAGCAAGCACGAGAAGAACACGCAAACTCCGCACAGAAAGACCCCAGGTCTGAACCGGAGATCGAACCCAGGACCTTCTTGCTAAGGAGCGTCGGTGCTAAACACTGAGCCGTAGTGCATCGCTTCAGTTTTCCAATAAACAGTTTTAAAATTACTTTATTGATGCTTYTTTAATGAAAAATCTACAACAAAGAAAAGAAAAAGACAAAAAAGAAGCCGAACTAGCAATCCTCATCAGCTTTTTAAAGAAGCAGCCGAACTAACAATCCTCAACAACTTTTTAATTTTTACACCAGGAGCCAAAGGTCTATTTCAGGAAATCACACCCCCAGCAATCAGAGGTTGTAGAATTAAGCTGTAAAAGGRTTCATACACTGCTAGTTGGCAGTGTTGTGCATATGTTGTACATGAATTGTTGCCAGCTAGTAAGCGTCAATTGGAACTTGCGCTTTAAAATTAGCTTCCGCTAGTTTTTCTATGGTATAAGTGCCTTTGAAGTTGCGGACTTAAATATTTTCATAAGCGCTTTAGAAATTGCGGAGCTCATTTTTGGATTAGCACTGCCCACCACTGGTTAAATGTTCAAACACTACCTCAAAGTCTCTGCGCTCTTCATAGATGGGAATGATGAGCCTGTAAACGTCAGCGATGAGCTCATAACGCTCAGCTTTCCATAAACCGTCGGCACACTCCTCCAGCAGCTCCAGCAGCACCTCCTGCACAGCCACARAAAATAAACACATTTTAAATGTCCTAAAGACGTTGACACAAGAGACGGAGGGGAAAAGTGTTTTTTAATTAACAAAAATGTTGACCAGCTCGTAAAATTTCACTCATCCTGCAGCCACCAGGCAGCTATCAGTTTACCAGAAGACGAGGCTGAAGTCCAGCCTCCAAGTGTACCATAATGTCATTTCATCCACAAGCAACACAAARCCACTCGCTCTGTTTTTATAGAAATAAAAGCAGATTATCACGCATCAGGTCATTTGAACTGGAAGACCTGATCTGCTCATAAAAGCTGGGTCAACAAACGCAAGAGGCAGAAACACAGAGAGAGAAGAACAGACATAAAAGTCTAACCTCACTGAAGTGCACATCCTGCATCCCCACGTCCTCCATCATGGCCGCCTCCTCGTCGATGTTCGGGGTGATGACCCGGAAACAGGAGCAGCCCTGACGAAACATACCTGACCAAGAGAAACACCCGAGACAAATGTGAAAACCCACCCGAGTCAAACAGAAGACCCTCGAGTTAAACAGAAGACCCTCGAGTCAAACAGAAGACTCTCGAGTCAAACAGAAGACCCTCGAGTCAAACAGAAGACTCTCGAGTCAAACAGAAGACCCTCGAGTCAAACAGAAGACTCTCGAGTCAAACAGAAGACCTTCGAGTCAAACAGAAGACCCTCGAGTCAAACAGAAGACCCTCGAGTCAAACAGAAGACCCTCGAGTCAAACAGAAAGACCCTTGAATCAAACAGATGACTCTCGAGTCAAACAGTAGACCCTTGAGTCAAACAGAAGACTCTCGAGTCAAACAGAAGACCCTCGAGTCAAAAAGAAGACCCTCGAGTCAAACAGAAGACCCTTGAGTCAAACTGAAGACCCTCGAGTCAAATAGAAGACCCTCGAGTCAAACAGAAGACCCTTGAGTCCAACAGAAGACCCTCGAGTCAAACAGAAGACCCTCAAATCAAACAGAAGACCCTCGAGTCAAACATAAGACCCTTGAGTCAAACAGAAGACCCTCGAGTCAAACAGAAGACCCTCGAGTCAAACAGAAGACTCTCGAGTCAAACAGAAGACCCTCGATCGAGTCAAACAGAAGACACTCGATCGAGTCAAACAGAAGACCCTCGAGTCAAAAAGAAGACCCTCGAGTCAAACAGAAGACCCTCGAGTCAAACAGAAGACTCTCGAATCAAACAGAAGACCCTTGAGTCAAACTGAAGACCCTCGAGTCAAATAGAAGACCCTCGAGTCTAACAGAAGACCCTCAAGTCTAACAGAAGACTCTCGAATCAAACAGAAGACCCTCGAGTCAAACAGAAGACCCTTGAGTCAAACAGAAGACCCTCGAGTCAAATAGAAGACCCTCAAATCAAACAGAAGACTCTCGAGTCAAACAGAAGACCCTCGAGTCAAACAGAAGACCCTTGATCGAGTCAAACAGAAGACCCTCGAGTCAAATAGAAGACCCTCAAATCAAACAGAAGACTCTCGAGTCAAACAGAAGACCCTCGAGTCAAACAGAAAGACCCTCAAGTCAAACAGAAGACTCTCGAGTCAAATAGAAGACCCTCAAGTCAAACAGAAGACCCTCGAGTCAAACAGAAGGCTCTCGAGTCAAACAGAAGACCCTCGAGTCAAACAGAAGACCCTTGATCGAGTCAAACAGAAGACCTTCGAGTCAAATAAAAGACCCTCGAGTCAAACAGAAGACCCTCGAGTCAAACAGAAGACCCTTGATCGAGTCAAACAGAAGACCCTCGATCGAGTCAAACAGAAGACCCTCGAGTCAATCAGAAGACCCTTGATCGAGTCAAACAGAAGACCCTTGATCGAGTCAAACAGAAGACCCTCGAGTCAATCAGAAGACCCTTGATCGAGTCAAACAGAAGACCCTTGATCGAGTCAAACAGAAGACCCTCGAGTCAATCAGAAGACCCTTGATCGAGTCAAACAGAAGACCCTTGATC